CCTCTGGTCCGGTCAATCAATGGGTCTAAGTAGTTACACGGCCGAGTTGTGGGCGGCACTCGTTGCCTTTTGTGAGTCGCTTCAACCTGTACGAATCAATAGTGACTGTAAGACACTTGTTGATCACATCCATGCCCTCGTTCGCACACACAAGGTGAACGCCAGCTGGCCACTCCAAACATGGTGGCAAGCCATGGCCACAACATGGCTTGCCAGAAAGGAAGTTTGCGAAGAACCATTGGATGCCAGGTGGGTTCCCGCTCACAAACTTGAGTCCATCCCAGAACACCTCATTGATGAGGACATGGCACGGGCCAACAAATCCACGATTCTTGACATAGTGTGCAACAGGAAGGCGGACCACGCCGCCAAGCAAGCAGCACTCGCAAATGCACTCATTGAACCCACCATGTATGAACCCATGTGCCGTGCGGTCGAGGAAAGACACATTTGGCTGGCACAGCTGTGCAAGCTCTGTGGTCAGGAAACGTGCAAATACTCAGAGGAAACTGATGAAGAACGTCTTGAGGATAACCAACCCGCGCATGTTTTATTTCCTTTGCTGCCATGGGGTGCTATTAAAGCCGAATACCCTCTTCGCTTTGGAGTTCAATGGCCTCCCCAACCTCCTAGGGGCTGGAAGTCCACCACCGCGGATTGGGCTCAGTTTGGTTGTTTCATCTCCAATTTGCAATGGCAGAAGGGTGCTGAACTTCGCATTTCATATAACGAGCTGGCTGTTTTGTTTGCCCTGCGCAAATTTAAATGCGAATGCCTCAACGACGAGCTGTGTACCTACGCCCAACTCACCGGGTGGCTTAAAAATGCCTTTGCTGTTTGTCGACGCCATGTTGACGTGACACTGTTCCCCGGGGAGCATGCAGGCCATGTCGCGCATACATGGGGCAAGTCAATGCCACCTGGTGCAATCTGCGGTGGCCGTCCATGGTTTTCCGATGATGAGTTGCATTTTTTAGTTACAATCTCCAAGCGTGTTGCTGGTTCTTCCATGTCGCAATGGCGCTTTGCTGTCCGTGATTCGTTGGTGTGACTTCGTTCTTTTTGTACAGTGGACATTTTCGTATGCCATGCAGTGGAAAGCTGCTGGCAACGCGTGAACCAGAGTGGGAGCTGATCGCGCGAGTGAGGTAGAAGAGGTTTTACAATCCATGCTTGGAGAAAAACAAAAGCTTTGTGAGTCAAGAGTGTGTGGGCTATGCCTCTACTAAGAGGCCGCAGCTGAGACGAGCGCTTTCTGCTCGATCTCTGAGCTGGGAACGGTTTGATCTCTCGGCGAGAGCCGAGGATCTTGATGCTCTGAAGGAGTCCTGAGAGACTCAAGAGGAGCCAATTCAGAGGTCGCTGACGTGTATCATATTGTGCTAGGTCAAAACTCAGCTCAGGGGTCAGTTAGGAGAAGAGGATTCAACGCAGAGGTCACAAAGCTCAGATCAGGCTGGCCTCACTCATATCGAGTTCGACGCAGGCCCCCAAGCGGCTTGTCAGGTGTTTGGCCACGTGTTGTCACGTGTCCGTTGGCCAACTCATCAGCATTTCTCATTGCCTGTGTCGGTCAGCGCTTTAACTTGCCTTCACGTTAACTTCACGTTGCTTTAACCATTAACAAGATCTGGATGATAGGTCATCCAGATAGACCCCTTGATCAAATCCCTTGTGCCTGAAACTGGGCGAACGGACTTCCTCCTTTCTGTGGAACCTTCTACCCTGATCATTCTTTCAGCGACCCAGCCCATACCTGTATGGGCATGGGGCACCAGTGCCGCTGCTTTTCTTCAGCTGCTTGCTTTGGTGATTTGATGTGATGTGCACATTGTACCCTGATCCGTCTATCAGGAACTCTTGACTTCAGGAATGGCTAGCTTCACCTCGTCCGTGCAAGTCTGCTCTTCGGCAGCTGCTAGCTGATGCTAGCTGCCAACTTTGATGATGCATAATATGATGCTCTCTGTAGTTTGTTTCCGTTCGGAGTCGATGTTCCTTGGGCCATCACCTTCTTCCTTGTCACGTGGTTACACCGTATAGTAACTTGGTATAACCTAGCCACTGCCGGAACACTTCACTGACTTTTCACAAGTTGCTTACCAGTGCAGTGGTTGTTCCAGCACCTGCTCAATCAAATCAGCCAGTCCGGTGAATCAGATGTGAATCAGATGAAGGATAATGCAGCGATACAGTGGTGCAGGGAACTCTGTGGTGCAGTGGAGCTTGCTGGTATTCTTGGATTTGTGATCCTTTCCCTTCAAAGATTAAGCTCCCCACAAGGACCCAGACACTCCAAACAGTTGTCTATGTATTCGATACTCCATATCAGGGGTTGGGTACTGCCTAGCTGTGAAGGGGTAGGTAGACCATGGTACTGCCCTCGTCTCGTCTTGCTGCCCAGCTAAGCCTCACTGAGATGTGTTCCCTGGTGGTCTGTAGCCTTGGAGCTTGGCAGCTGCGACGCATGAAGTGGAAGCGAGAGTCCCGGATGCAGCGCAGAGGGGCGTTGGAGGGGAGACACTTGGACCACGGCTGCTTCGGCAGCAGCAGGGGTCTCCCTCGCTGATGGGATTATGGCCAATTGTTACATGGAAGCTACTACCTGATGCTTGTTTCATGGTTTGGGTCTGCACCCTGGACTGGGAGAACATGCTGGCTGATTGTGATAAGTACCTACTGAGTGTGACCAAGGACCAAACCAAGAGGCTTGAAGTCGTTTGCTTCTGCCCGGGTGATCTACCAGTTTGGATCTGGCCTTGGGAGGTGACCTGGGGTGACAAATGCAAGGGGTGGGAGCCTTGGAGCCTGGTTCAGCCAGATTGTTCAAAGTCATCCGGACGGCTAAGGGAGGAACATGATCCATTTTGGACACAAACGAGCCAGCTAATCAACTTGCCAACGGTCTTGAGGAAGTTGGTTTCACCACGGAAAACACCGTGTACCTGAAAACAAGGCAGCTGCTTTCAGCTGGTGTTTCGCGAACTGACCAAAACCGGCGCCAGACCCCTGACGGGATGGATCGGATGGGCGACCCCCAAATGGACATATAGAGACTTTAACATTCATGGTCACCATGTAATCCAAGAATCTACTGTATTCTTTGATAGTAACTATTTGATACTATTATTGTGCATCTCTTGTTTCCATATCTTGGATTGGATGGAAAGACACGCGTGTTTTATTGCGATCTCTTATGAACAAAATGCAAGGTGTAAACATGTGTAAAACGCGGTTGGAAGATATATGATCAACATTCAATATTTTCCCGATATGTTTAAGGGGTCTTATCCCCCTGTGTCACTGCCCTTTTTGGACATCCCAATGGACCCCATGTTTGATCGGAAAGAGCCCTTAAGTTGGGAGGTTGGTCCAAACTAAATGTCACTCAAGTTCTAGGTACATACAATATACTTACCCATGCCCATGCCATACTTAAAGTACAATGATCATTCAAGTTCAATCCCCATGCCATTGCTTCTAGGTTGGAGGCCATTGCTTGTAGGTGCCATCGCTTCTAGGTTGAAGGCCATCGCTATTCGGTTGGAGGCCATCGCTATTAGTTTGGAGGCCATCACTTTTGGGTTTGAGGCCATCGCTATTATGTTGGAGGCCATCGCTATTAGGTTGGAGGTCATCGCTATTGGGTAGGTCATCGCTATTAGGTTGGAGGCCATCGCTTAGGTTGGAGGCCATCGCTATTAGGTTGGAGGCCATCGCTATTAGTTTGGAGGTCATCGCTATTAGGTTGGAGGCCCTCGCTATTAGGTTGGAGGTCATCGCTATTAGGCTGGAGGCCATCGCTACTAGGTTGGAGGTCATCGCTATTGGTTTGGAGGTCATCGCTATTAGGTTGGAGGCCCTCGCTATTAGGTTGGAGGTCATCGTTATTAGGTAGGTCATCGCTATTAGGTTGGAGGCCATCGCTATTAGGTTGGAGGTCATCGCTATTAGGTT